CTGGCTTGGATGATTGAGTTGGGTTGGTCCTGCTTTGAGCAGGGGGTTGGACTCGATGACTCCTGAGGTCTCTTCCAGCCCAATGATTCTATGTTTCCTTACAGAGCAGGAGGGGCAGTACATGGTGTGCCAATGAAATATCAGAAGAGGAAATAAAGCAAAGTGGAGGTGAAGATGATGTGTTAACCGCTAATAGCAAGTTCTCAATGGCTTAAGGGAAGGTTGCTGCCAGATCGAGTAACTTCAGGGTATCAGATGATCTGGACTAAGTCCAATATTCCAATGCCTCGAAGATGCTACAGATGCCAAAAAAGTGGATCACGTAGCAAATAATTGCAAAGGCAAAACACAGCGCAGAAACATGGGGCTGGCCATTCGTATGAAATCTGCGAGGAAGGGGCAGAGGAAAAGCCCTGGAAAACGCAGCTCAGCATATGAAAGATGAACGGAGGAAAAGCAAGTTGCTGAAATGTAAAAGGTAATAGAGGTAGAGGTTGCTCAGAGAGATCTGAAGGGGAATAAAAGTGGAAGGGTGGTAATGGAAAAAAGACAATCTGATATAGGGAAAGGGACGAGCCAGCAGCAAATCAATAGGGAGGGAGTCACAAGTGACAGCAGGATGAAAGGTGGTTGACATAGAAACAAAGGGATGGATTGTGTTTATGATCGATACAATAAGTGGTATGTCTCAAACTGGAAAGAAAACAGAGAAAACGAGAATTGTAATTAACGCTGCTGGAAAGCACTTACAGGCCAGCAATTTATCAGTGGGATGACTTTCCACTTTCCTAAGTGAAGGAAATATTGACATTTTTAAAAATGGGGTGAAAACACCTGGGCAGGAACGAAAGAAAAAATACAAGTTGCATGAAAAAGCCAGATGTAGCGTGCATATAAGCAGGGGCAGATGACCATTTTGCGGGGCCCAGGGCAGCATAATTTCGTGGGGCCCCCCTTTGCCATGGCACATGCATGGGGCTTCTTGAAGCGCGGGGCCCGGGGCGGCCACCCCGCTCGCCCTGCCCTAAATCCACCCCTGCACATAAGCCACTTGGCCAATAAAAATAAAATCCCAAGTTATGGCACAGAGACATGATAAAGAGCTTCAGGGGGTAGCCGAGTTAGGCTATGTCTAGACTGCAGGCTTTTTTCATAAGAAGCTTTTCAGGAAGAGATCTTCCGGAAAAACTTCTTCCGAAAGAAAGCGTCCACACTACAAGGCTACGTCTACATTGGCCCCTTTTCCGGAAGGGGCATGTTAATTTCACGAGTCGTAATAGGGAAATCCGCGGGGGATTTAAATATCCCCCGCGGCATTTAAATAAAAATGTCCGCCGCTTTTTTCCGGCTTTTAGAAAAGCCGGAAAAGAGCGTCTACACTGGCCCCGATCCTCCGGAAAAAAAGCCCTTTTCCAGAGGATCTTATTCCTACTTCAAATAAGGAAAGGGGCCAGTGTAGACGCTCTTTTCCGGCTTTTCTAAAAGCCAGAAAAAAGCGGCGGACATTTTTATTTAAATGCCGCGGGGGATATTTAAATCCCCCGCGGATTTCCCTATTACAACTCGTGAAATTAACATGCCCCTTCCGGAAAAGGGGCCAATGTAGACGTAGCCCAAAAGTGCATCGGAAAAAAGTGATCTGCTTTTTTGAAAGATAGCATCCACACTGAATGGATGTTCTCTTTCATATAAGCTGTGATTACTATGGACGGAGTGGCCACCCGGGCACCTGTGCTTTTTCCTCTTTCCTCTTCTTGTGAAAGAAATCCCTCTTCCCTGCCCACACATGCCTTTTTCCAAAAGAGCTCTTTCAGAAAAAGGCTTCTCCCTCATAAAAAGAGGATTACCAGTGCTGGAAAATTCCCTCCAGGCAGGGTGGACATAATTGACGTTTTTTCGGAACAACGGCAACATGCTGTGGAGGGCTGTTTGCACGCATGTATAAAGGTAAAGCAGAACTCACATGAATGTGCATTATGGTCTAACACGGTGTAGCGGGGTGGTCCAGGCATAAAAAGGGTTAAAACAGCTCTGGGAGAGGGGCCAATCATGAGCAACCCTGCAGCAGCCAATCAGAGCCAAGGAGGGCTGTATAAAGGAGATGGGTGGCCCAGCTAAGCTCATTCCCTCTCCAGCCCTGAAGGGAGAAGGACCTAGCTGCCTAGTCAGCACAGACAGAGCAATGCTGCGGAAAGGCAGCGTGAGGCAGGGGAGCTCCAGGCTGAGGCCCAGTGACTGGGGCCTGAGGGGTACTAGGGCTGCAGGGAGGCAGCCAGCAGGTCCACACCTTGCCTGTGAGGAGTGGCCATGTCAGACAGCAGTTTGCCCCTGAGGTTAGGGGCTAGGTGAAAACTGGCAGTGGGTCATTGAGGCAAGGTGGGTAGGGGAGGCTGGGGGTTCCCTGACAGGGAGGACCCCAGAGTGTGGGGGTAACCAGAGGGAAGGGCATTGGGTCTGGAAGGGATGCAGGTTCTAACGCCAGGTGACGGCGCCATTAGCAGAAAACAGGGAACAGCAGGCATGACACCAGCCAGAAGGGGGTGCTCCGGCCCTGAGCGCTGCTAATTTCCAGCGTGACCAGCCGTGGCAATGAGTCGTGTCCTGTTACCCACGGAGACAGCGCTGCATCTTCCTCAAGCGAATCCGCCACTTACTGGCGCAGCATCTTCCTCAAGCGACTCTGCCAGTATCCCAGGGCCGTGATCTCATCGCAGGTGGATTATAGGGGACACTTCTTGAAGGGCTGTTGCCGCTCTATCTGTGGCCTGGCCTCTCGTGTCAGTCCCTGTGTTTCGTACGCCACGTTTCAATGCATGAATGGCCAGCGTGCGGATTTACCCTTCTCTGGGCGTCAGGGTTGCACGCTCAGGGCCGGCCTACAACATTTTGGCACCTGAGGCGGGGAGCTCAAATGACGCCCCCGTACCCCCTCCCTTGGGCCAAAACTTTGAAAGGTCTCAATTCTGCCTTCTTCCTGTTCTCCTCCTCTCATGGGACTGCTCTGCTACCTACCTCAATAAAGGAGAATTAACAGCAGCAGACACGATTTTCTACACTCTGGGTCCTACTGGCACCCCCCCACACACACACACACACACACAGAGTCTGGCACCTGAGGCAGACACTTCAATTCACCTCATGGTAAGGCCAGCCCTGTGCTCACTGCCCCGGGGGAGGAAAAGACTCAACCACGGTTTGGTCCTGAGCTTCCCCCTTGTTCTGAGGAGAATGAAGAATAACTCCTCCACCTTCCTACCAGCTCAGCTGTGTTGCCCAATTGGGCCAGAGAGAAGACTTTGCTCACTACCAGCCCTGGCCCACCCAAATATATGTGGAAGGGGAACGAGCATTCCCAACAAAGGCTGCTCCTCTTCCCTTTGCTGACCCAGGATGGGGGTAGCCCAGGCTTGCTTCCCTGCAATCGCCTTGCCTTCATTTATTTCCCTGCGTGGGTACATAGGACAAGCTGCGTTCTTGTCCTACAGAACCTGTCCTTCTGGACAGCACCATGACCCAGGCCAATAACACTGTAGTTCTTAGTGTTCAATATTGGTATTGCTCTCATGCCCCGGCTGGGATTCGGTTCCCTTTGTGCCGGGTGTTCTACAACCTCCAGGGCAGCCTCAGAGGTACAAACACCAGAGTTATGGACCAACTGGACAACCGGTAGAAACCCATCCCCCCAGCAAATATTGTATTGTCATGACTCATAGACTCATAGACTTTAAGGTCAGAAGGGACCATTATGATAATCTAGTCTGGCCCCCTGCACAGTGCAGGCCACAGAATCTCACCCACCCCTCCTAGAATAATCCTCTCACCTATATCTCCAATATTGAAGCCTTCAAATACTTTGAAGGCCCCAAGATGCAGAGAATCCTCCAGCTGTGACCTGTACCCCATGCTACCCTGGAGGAAAATTCCTTCCCGACCCCAAATATGGCGATCAGCTAAACCCTGAGCATGTGGGCAAGACTCACCAGCCAGACACCCAGAAAGTTCTCTATAGTAACTCCTATCATCCCTCCATTGACCTATTTCCCACTGATAATGAATGGTCAATTAGTTCCCAAGAGCGTTAGCCCTGGGGCTGAGGACATTGCTTCGGGCTGCATCCACAACACTGGGGGAGCTTTGGGCATGGGGGCGGGGGGCCAAGTGCTTCTGACCCACAGGAGCACCGGGGCACAGAACTTTAGCTGGGAGGAGCCAGAGCTGGCCCACAACATTTTGTCACCTGAGGCAGGGAGCTCAAAGGAGGCTCCCATAGCCCCTAGCTTGGGCCGAAACTTTGGAAGGTTTCAATTCTGCCTTCTTCCTGTTCTACTCCTCTCATGGGACTGCTCTGCTACCTACCTCAATAAAGGAGAACTAACAACTTAAAATGCCTTGTTCAAAAAGTGTGAACTAGTGGCGCCCCCGCCACAGTCTGGCACCTGAGGCGGCCGCCTCAGTTTCCCTCATGGTAAAGCCAGCCCTGGGAGGAGCGCTGGGGTTTCAGTCTTGTGGGTCTGCTCATGGCTTCAGTCCAGCAAAGGACACCAGGGTGTGGGTTTTAAGCAACAAAGAAAGCTCTGGTTTCTGCCCCAGGCCTCCCCCAGTAGCTGAAGACGTGAGCCTCAGCACGTGCACCCCGTAGCTAAGTCCATAGTGTCTTGAGAGTTATGGCGCATTGCTCAGCGACGAACAACCTCCACTCCCGACGTGCTCTGAGGTTCGACTGTAAGAGGAAGACTCAGTCCCTGGCTCAAAGCACTTCCTCCCAGATTCTCAAAGGTATTTAGGAGCCTATCTCCCATAGGTTTCAGTGGAAGTTAGGCACCTCGATACCTGTGAGGATCTGGGCCTTACTGGACAAATATCCAAAGCTGTAACAGTCAACATTCAAGCCAAGTGTTGAAGGTCGGTATCTTGTTAGCTGCATTTTTTTTCTCCCCCAAACGATGCCCAAAGTGATGTCTAGCCAACAAACTCCATCAACGAGAATACAAGGTACCCACCTTGTCCACCTCTTGGATGACAGGTTGAGGTCCGGTATTGGAGTCCATCAAATAATAGACTTTCCATCCTGACACAGGGATTTTGAAACTCGGTTCCACCCTAAATAGGAACAAAGTAAAAAATCGTGGAATTATTATTTTATTTTATTTATTTATTTTACAAAATGACCGATTCCATTCCAACCTTCTCAAGCCATTTTGACTTTATTCTTTCCCCTCTGATGTTTAATACCACATCATCAACATGTTTACACTTTTGTATTATCAACAATGATAGAAATGTCCGGATGATACATTTGAGAACAAAATGTTCCAAGCGTCGCCTGTCCAAGCTAGACACAACCCAGCCCCACGAAATAGTTTGAGTTCATGGAACTCGCAATTTTGGAGACTTGTCTATCAGTTCTATTTAGTCTATGGGAAGAAGAGGGAAAACTAATTAGATGGTGCCTGTGCTCCCAAAGGACGAAAATGCCACCAAGGTCTCATGACCTCTCTTGCCACCATTTGGCTCTGCGAAGAGATTGTGCTTCACTCTGCCAAGGGGGGATGAACTCCACTGAGCTTTCTCACAGCATCCAGGGAAGCACGTTTTCCACTGGGGTAGCTTCTTTAATTGAGTGTCCTTATCGAAGCACGAGCAAATGCTTACTGTGAAGTGTGGGCCAGGGCAGATTCCTTGGCCCTAACTTCAGAGCCGCAGAAATCCAGAGCGGAAAGCAACCTCCCCTCTGGTCCGTTTGGTTTTCCGGAGCACGTCCCCTCAGCAGTAGCTTCAGGAGCAGTCCACTGAAGTGCTGTCTCGAACCGCTAACCTCCCAAAGGGTGTTGCACTTTTTCCTTTCTCTGCCTTTTCCTTCTCACAAAATCCTAGGGCTGGAAGAGACCATAGGAGTCATCAAATCCAGCCCCCTACCCAAAGCAGGACCAACCCCAACTCAATCATCCCAGCCAGGACTTTGCCAAGCTGGGACTTAAAACCCTCTAGGGACGAAGATTCCACCCCCTTCCTAGGGAACCCATCCCAGTGCTTCCCCACCCTCCTAGGGAAATAGAATTTCCTAATATCCAACCTAGACCTCCCCCACTGTAACGTGAGACTATTGCTCCTCATTCTGCCATCTACCACCGCTGAGAACAGCCTCTCTCCATCCTCTTTGGAACCCACCTTCAGGAAGTTGAAGGCTGCTCTCAAATCCCCCCTCACTCTTCTTTTCTGCAGACTAAATAAGCCCAAATCCCTCAGCCTCTCCTCGTAGGTCATGTGTTTCAGCCCCCTCATCATTTTGGTTGCCCCCACTGGACCCTCTCCAATGTGTCCACATCCTTTCTATAGCGTTGGGCCCAGAACTGGAGGCAACACTCCAGATGTGGCCTTCCCAGTGCCTAGCAGAGAAATAATCACTTCTCTGGATCTGCTGGCAATGCTCCTCCTAATCCATTCCAATATGCCATTAGCATTCTTGGCTACAAGGGCATCCTGTTGATTTCTGCTCTCATTGTATAAATGGTGGGGTATAAAGAGTGAAATGAAGGGTCTGGGAATTTGTTATCATGGGGATGGGGATACAGCATAAGCAGGTGTAACTACCACCAGGGAGATTTGAACCAGGTTCTGTGGTAGCTTAGTATAGGAGCCTCTACCCTCTGAGCTAAAAGCCGCCTGGACTAACCCTACATCCAGGCCACCTCTGCTTCTGAAGGAACGCTGTCTGACTCCTTCACAAGCTAGAATCTGATCTTACTTATGCCAGGTTCACATTGACATAAATCCCCTTCTAGCGCACCCCCAAGAGAAAAATGGTGGAACTCATGTGATATGTGCTCACCCTGCATTGTGCACCTTGATAGTTTATTATATCCCTTGACTTGTTCTGCCTTTCCAACAGGATTGTGTTCCATTAATAACTACTCTTTGAGGATGGTTATCCAGCCAGTTATGCACCCAGCTTACAGTAGCCCCATCTAAGTTGTATTTGCCTAGTTTATTGATAAGAATATCATGTGAGACCGTATCAAACGCCTTACTAAAGTCTAGGTATATACATTCACTGCTTCTCCCTTATCCACAAGACTTGTTATCCTATCAAAGAAAGCTATCAGATTGGTTTGACATGATTTGTTCTTTACAAATCCATGCTGGCTGTTCCCTAATACCTTGACACCTTCCAGGTGTTTACAGATGATTTCCTTAATTACCTGCTCCATTATAGACTCATAGACTCATAGGCTGTGTCTACATTGGCACCCCTTTCCGGAAAAGGGATGCTAATGTAGACTTTGGAATAGGCAAATCCGCGGGGGATTTAAATATCCCCCGCGGTATTTGCATTAACATGGCTTCCGCTTTTTTCCGGCTTGGGGAAAAGCCGGAGAAAAGCACCAGTCTAGACGTTATTCTCTGGAAAATAAAGCCTTTTCCTTGAAAGTAGGAATAAGAAATCCTCCGGAAAAGGCTTTATTTTCCAGAGAATAACGTCTAGACTGGCACTTTTCTCC